AGGAAAGTTATCTAGGTCACTCTTTTTCTTTGTTATTTGTATATCCCTTTTAATTATTAAAACATCAGCTGGCTCCATTTGTATATCCAGTGTAGGATCTTTTTCCATGTCATTCTTGTAGCCTGTCATTTTTAAATTCACTTTCAGTTCAGTCACAGTCTTGTCCAGTAAAACTTGTTCCTCTTCCATATTATCTTTTAAACACAGACACCCTTAAAATTAACTTCTGGGTTCATTGTTCAAAAATATCCTTCAATATTTGATGTTGTTAAGTCAAATTTAAGTGTTCTCCTTTAATTGTAATATTTAGTTCCTTCTGGTTCCTTCTAGCGTCCAACCTTCAAAGTCTTATCCTTTTTTTTTTTTAAAGAGAATTCAAAACAACAGCATTTTCCCATGGGACAGATTCTTATAATTAATTCCAAAATGTTATTTCAAATCCATCTGGACCCTTAGTTCGTTTGTAACTTTCCAAAATCAAAGTGCTTAAATTTTTTTTAAGTCCTTAAACTTGTATTTAAAACTTCTTTCACTAAGAATTGAAGGAAAGTCGCCCAGTGCTGTAAAACCTGTTGATCCAAAGTTCCTAATAGCTAAAAAGCAGTTAACAAGCTATTTCTGAAAGTGGTTAGAAAAGGAAGTATGTGAACCCAGCGTCCTTTTGAAGGCATCAGTCATGGTTTGAGCAAAAAGAAGGCAATGATTCCCTTGTCTCCCAGAGCTCTGAACCCGCTGGAGACTGCTGTCTTGTGGTCTCTTGTGAGGAGCAGCTATATGGGCAATGTCAAGTCCTCTCCTTGTCCAGAGAGGAGTTACAAAGAGCCGGTCTTCATTCTGCCGTGGTCACCATTTGTTCCCCAGAAGAGGTTTTGGGTTTTTTAGGAAAGAGATCATCCTTCTCCTGTCACTCAGCCTCCTGCATCCCACTAGAATATGTAATTTTGTTATTTATTTGGGGATAGTAAAAATGGAGGATTGATGCTCTAGAGATATCAAAGAGCAGGAAGGTGTTCCAAAGATGCAGGTAAGAGCTGCTTTTGGTGTTAAAAACCTTTTAAGGTTTCTTGATGATGCCTTGTTGGATTCCACGTCACTGAGATTGTCTGCATTTGTGTTTTTAAAATGTTTTGTTCTAGTCCCGCCACGTAACCTGAGGATTGAATCCCAGAAGGACACTGCAGTAGAAGGAGAAGAGATTGAGCTGAATTGCACGTCCATGGCCAGCCGGCCAGCCACGATGATCAAATGGTTCAAAGGCAGCAAGGAGCTATTTGGTAGATCCACCCCACTTCCCCCACCCATCAACTTAATGGTGTAGATTTAGAGGTGCCTTAGCCTTGTGAAGATGAGGATGATATGTGACCTAATCTCAAATGTCAATGCTGGGTCTGGTATGGCTTCTGCTAATCACCTTGATTTTATATGCCAAGGAATACAGGATTGACTCATATTGTTAGCTTCCTACTTGAGAGCCAATAATCAAAACATCCGAGGACAACTTTTATATCCTCACAGCCTGCATTTGGGCAGCTCACCCAAAGTGTCCTTGATCCACCAACCCACCCTTTTACTTACAGTGCTGAAGAATGATCAGAACAGTCCATTGCAAATGGCCCTTTCCTTTTGCAGTCCTACTGCAAAACATGTGGTCCTTAAGCAGAGGCTCACCATTCCCACCTTGGAACGACTGGAAGCATGGCACTTGGGCCTCCACCTGTTTGGACTTGGGCTTCCTCCTTTCCCTTCTCTGCAGTGCACTTGGTGGCCTTGGCAGTCTTGGGTTGCTCCTCTCCTGCTGTGCTGAAGTGCCCATCTTTGGCCTCCTTCGAGTGGCGACTTCCCCTGCAGGGACACATGTATTACTGAGATTGCAGTTGCCTCCCCACCAGTATCCCCATCTGCCGCTCCACCCAAAGTGCTGCTTCTCCCTTCAGTGCTGTCCTAGGTGTCTGCTCTGAGTTGCCTAAGGTTCCCCAGCCCCTGTGGCCAGTTGGATTGTTGGGAGGCTCCTTCACCCTCCCTGAGCTGTTGAAGTGGATATTGCTGAGCTTCTGAAAGCAGGATATTGGCCATGCTCTGGGGGAGAGAGAGAGAGAGAGGGAGAGAGAGAGGGAGAGAGAGAGAGAGAGAGAGGGAGAGAGAGAGAGAGAGAGAGAGATGCCTATGTGGGAGCGAGGATGATTTTTGGAAGTCCTAAAAAGATCTACCACTTTGTCAAGTTTTTCTTTTCCTTGACAAAGTTTCACAGTAGAATAGGCTGCCATTGGTGGGATAAGTTGCCCTTCCAGCCCTGTGAGCTGACAGGGGGAAATAATTTCATCTTCCCTTCCCTTCATATGTGTCCCCACATAGAGTAGCTGGCCTCATTTTTTTTTTTTTAACCTCTGAACAGGAAGTGAAGAGGAAGTCTTCTCATCCCAAGCAAGGGTCCATTTTTTAGCTGTTGCTTTCTAAGTCCTTGGGTATCTCTCCTTTCTGATGAACTTCTGGAACATTCAGAAGTATTTGATCCCAGACACACTAGATCAAATAATAATTTCATTAACCATTCTGAAGTAGTAGGATTCCAGCCATCCTTCAGTAGTGCTGACTGTGAAATAAGTCACGGCTTCTGGAAATATTGTGCCAATCTTCTAACTCTTGAGTGTTCATGAAGGCCAGCTGGGTCATTAAGGATAAGCACAGATTTGAAAACATCCCCAAATTGTCCTTTATGGTCCTTTATGGACAATCCAATCCCACCCAGAGCCAGTGGAAAGCCACCTCTCAGCTCAGACATAGAACTCCCACAAGTTCCCTCCTAGGAAAAAAGACAGGTGCTGATTTGTCTGTCAGCCTCCCTGTAGACCTCTGGCAGAGGACACCACATCCCTTGCTATCTGATGCACCTCCTTCTAAAGCCCTAGGTCACGTGTAGTTTCATATAGATGCTAAGTCAGCATTGGGAAATGAAATACAATCTTTGCCATCACCTGGTCCTTCAGAGTTTGATCACTGTCCCCCTCACATTTATTTTACTTATTTGCATTGTGTTCAATGCTGTTTTTCTTGCTCAAACAAGAGACTTCCCAAGTGTTTCAACTGTGTAAAACGAGCAAAGATTCCCATCCTTTCCTCTGCTTCAGAGCCCTGGCTATTTCTGTGGGGCCATCTCACCCTCCCTGTCAGCATTTTAGCTGAGAAGAGCCACATCACCCCTGAAAATAAATTGATCCCCACCCACAACAGTGTCACGAAGGGCCAGGTAGATGCCCCCATGCCCACCAACCCACACAATAAGCAAACACTCTGACTTCCAGGATAACATCTACTGAAGGCGGCTATCACTGGACTTCCCTCTAAATGTGACAAAGGAAGTATAGCAGCCCATCTACAGTTGTAATGCAAGGGGTGCGGCTTTTCTAATTAGACATTTCTGTTGATCTTGCCTGCCGAGACGGTGTGACAGCCCCCTTCCAGACCAGGAAGCTATAAGGCAGCCAGTGGCGCTTCCCTCCTCCATGGGGGGGCCCTACCCTTTTCTCCCTTTATCGCAGCCCTCCTCATGTTCTGCCCTTCTCTATCCCCTTCCTTTTGGCAGGAAGCCCTGTGGGATGTCTCCGTTTCCACCCGCTGCCACTGCATTTTTCTGGTCTTCAATAGTACCCATGCTTAAATATTTTAATTACTACTTTTAATTATGTAAATCCATGGAGTCACTTTCCCTCTTAATTATTGATGATGGCTTTTGGCAGTGGCATCAGAGGAAGAGGGTAGAGGATTTTTGGCTCCATTGACTTGAGTGTTTGGAAGGCATCCTGGAATCCTAATCCTCACTGTTGAGTGTTGTAGATTTTGTTTAATAACACGAAGCGAAGGTGGGATCTCCCTTGCCTTTGAACCTGGAGGCCAGTAAGAGTGCAAGCTTGCCGGCGTCATTTTTCTGGTAGGGAAATTTCATGATCGCAGAATTCAGTCTTTTCTCTCTCTTTCACTGAAGCCTCCATTCATGCAGGTGGGCAAATAAAATGCTTACACGGGAGTAGCGTCTACCCCTAGGCAACTGCTTTGGCCATCTATGCCTTTGGAATGCGCAAGTGGGTGACAGCACAAGATGGGCTGTGCAAGGCCACGAGATGTTCTGTGAGACACTGGGGGCTCTGAAGAGAGGAGGAGCATATTCCCAGCTGGATTTTTTTCCAAACGGTGAAAACGTGGGGTAGTCGCAAGATAGGGCCAGGGCAGAGGAGTACAGCAGGCAGTGAGGTGGGTCATGTGCGGTCCTTTGCAGCTTACCTGCTCTCTTGTCTCCCTGTTCTCCCCTGTTCTGCAGGCAAGACAGAAGTGGAGCAGTGGTCAGACATGTACACAGTGACCAGCCAGCTCTTGCTAAAGGTCAAGCGGGAGGATGATGGGGTCCCAGTTGTCTGTCAGGTAGACCATCCTGCCGTTAAAGACTTGCAGACCAAGTACTACCTTGATGTAATGTGTGAGTACCAAGATCACAAGCTCTCCACTGTATACCTATTTGCTGTTTATGTATGGCTTTCTTAAATTGGACATTCAGGGTATTGAATGTTAGTTTAAAGCTTTTCCTGCAGTTTTTTCATGCCTCTTTTGAAAAAGTTCTGCTGTCCAATCTTGGACGAATCATACAAACCTGTCTCTGAAATGTTTTAACGCAGATGTCTGATTTCCACGAGCTGGTGCCTTCCAGGTGTTCTGGGACTACACTTTCCAGGAACCCCAGCCATAGGGCCGTGTTGGCTAGAATGTCTGAGGTTCAGTCCAGTAACATCTGGAGGATACCAGCTTAAGTAAGACTAGAGGTTCAGTATATTTGTATGGATCTCCACAAAGCCCTGAGATCCTGAATAAACCTTTGGAGTACTCGTTGGAGACGAGTCCTAATGCAGTTGAGGTCCTCCAGTTGTGTTGGAACACGATTCCTGTGATGCCTGCCCATTGCGGCTCTTCAGTTCCTCATTATATCTTGAGACCACAGTTTTGACCTCGGCCTCAGTGAGTTCAATTCTCATCTCAGCCAGTGCCCCGGCAGCCTTTGAGCGGGCCGTTCTGGGCCATTTCGGACATCAAGCAGCAGCAAGTTGGCACATGAGCAGCAACCCTTCCAGAGACCGTGCCAAGGCTGGCATGGCTCCTTGATGGGACACACTCCTCCAACCAACTGCTCTTCCCATTTATGCTGTTTTTCCCCCCGAATCTTTGGCTGTCACTATTGCCCAATGCAGAAATGCTGTATAACCATGCATCCTATAAATATTGTTATTACAGGATAACTTTCTGCAAATCCCACAAAGTTAAATTACTGGTTTGGCACTGAGCTGTGTCTTCCTGTTTCAGGCAGTTAGAAGACCAGAGGGTGGTAGAAAATATCTGGACCCCTGCGTATGGTTCCTTTTGCTGCTTACATTGAAATAGTGCCCAGAATTGTGGCAGCAATGAATGGCATCTGAAGGGTCGGAATGCCACCCGTCCCGTATTAATGCCATTCAGATGCAGTGCCATATGAAGCATGGAAGAATTCGTGGCTAAGCAGGCAGACACTTTCATAAAGGAGCCAGAACTATTGCAGGGGACTGGGAGATGATCCAAAATGTCTTTTCTGTCTTTTGTGCTTGCAACTCAACCGTGACGTTATACAAAGAACCTCCCCCCATGTTAATTTATTTCTTCTACTTCATTATGTTGTTCCATTATGAGCTTACGATTACGATTTGCTTACGATTTCCATATCGCCCAAAAGTATTGGGGAAGTAACATCCCTACAATGGGAAAACAAAAACCATCAGATATTGCCTAAATTGGCAGGTTGTGGCAGTCTAGTCACTGTGCTGATGTGTAATTCATTTATGCAAACGTTATGTCCATTAGCATTTCTTGTCGAGCTCTGTTAACTTTAATAATTTATTAGCACCTTGGTTAGGTCTGATCGGAAGAGCCTCCACATGCACGCAGATACTTACCTACCTGTGTCAGTACGCACAACAGAGTTTCCTTGGGAAATGATCAGGACCTCCATTCCTCCAATGCCAGTGAGAATTGTGCAAGGGAACTCCCAGGGGCTTCCTCTCAAAGAGCAACAAGCAAGAGTGTCACAGGCATGCCTTTATTTATTTACCAGGATCCAGTCAGAACATTTTTGAAGTCAAAGATGTCTTGGGCTGTTCTGTTAGTGGAGAAACGGTGATATTCGAATATTGCAGGACTTTCTCTCTAATTGATGTCTTAACTGAACCAAACAGGTGTCCCTCTTTTGGCACTCCAATGCCATGGCAGCTTAGAGAAAAGCTGAGCTCACTTGTCTGTTGCTTGATGTCCAAATGACTGCATCCCCTGATTTCCTACCAGCTGCTCAGAAAAATAACACTTGTAAAAATCAGGCACAGCCATCACACATTCTCAATAGCTTGCCGGACTCTGGGATTTGCAACCACAGCCTAGAGCTGGGCTTGCTGTTGCCACTTTGCACATGTCAGATGACCACCCTGTTGTCACCAAGCCTGCAGAGCCCAAAATGCCAAGCCAGGAGACTCTTAATGTTGGGACTGCAGGGCTGCATCAAAAGTTCTGTTCCCAATTGGCAGCTGGAGAGAGAGACTCTGGTGGAAGAGGACACTAAAGATCCTGAACATCAGTTGTCCCTGCATGTCTCATGTGCGACCTGATCCAACCATTCCTTTTCTGTTTGATCAAGGGAAGGCCTGAACCAATGAATGCGTTGTCACAGCCAGCTATTTTTTCACTTGGGCATACTTAGTAGATAATAGAAGTCAGAAGGTAGCAGCTTGTAATAAAAGGGAAGGTATTAGTTGGTGAAATTCAAATTATCTATGGAGCTTTTCAAGGCTGTGAGCTAATTCTTGTTTGCTCAAAGGCTTGAATAGGCAGGTGCATGTTAGCATTGGTACAGAAATGGAAGGAAGAGTGAAAATTAAAAAGAAGCCTTTTAGAATGGTCCATGGTAGGTGAGGCTTGCATTTGGGAGCCCTTCTTGCTTCACTTCTACTTGGACATCTTCAGTAAAAGATGCCGGACAAGCTCTTGTAAAGAGAACATTAAGCTGAAATCCACATAAAGCCATAGAACAAGGTTTGATATGAGAATGAGCAAAAGCAACTTTTCAAGCATAAATGAAAAATACTGGAAACTTCTTCATGCAGTCTTTTTCAATATGATGAACTGTGGTTTGCACAAACATCATTGTCCACACATCCAAATAAGTTGCGTTGTTGCATATAAACGGGAGGCTTCCAGTCTCTCCTCTTGTCTAGAAGAAGTAAGATCATGGTGGCCTTGGCTCATATCTGGCATGTTGAAGCATCTGCTGGGCCGAAGAATATTCTTCCTTGAACTGGTTTTGTCTCTCTTCTGCCCTACACTTATAAGGGTTGCTGAATGAACAGGAAGTGGTGGCGTGATGCCTTAACATCATCCCACCACTTCTAGCTAAGAGTTGCTGGAATATTGGGGTGATGAGGGTAATAATCAAAACAGGTGCTAAAGGAAGAGGCATTTTGGACAACAAGCAAGGATTATGTTTCTCCTTCCTCATAGTTAACATTTGGAGTTTGAAGCAAGTTGTTAAAGGTATTTGTAACTCATACACACATTTGGGGAGAGAAAGGAGGCTTTAAATAGTGCAGAAATCTTTCAGTTAGAAAACTGCACTTTGCATCTGGCCGAGCCTTTTGGGTATGATCGCCTCAGTGTTTCTTGTCCTAGGCCTGTCAGCAGCCCCGTGGGAAGTAACCTTCCTGCTTGCAAATCCAAAAAATCATATGCAGGATCTCTGACTGAGAAATTTGGCCTAACAAAAGGTTTTGTGAACATTTCATGGATGCTCACTTTTGGTGCTATGGCTCAAATGAAATTATGGACTTGGATTTTATTATGCGAATCAGCTTTTCTATGAGGACCTGTTGGGGAGGTGGTTTGTGGGAGGCCTGAATTGCTGAGGGCTGTTGTACAGAGTGGAAAAGCTCAACCTAAATATGTGTCCCAAACTCTGCTCCTCATGTTGTTGCCATCCATGAGCTCTGAAATGCAGCCATCTTCACATGTTCCCAAATACAAACCTCTTACCAAGGTGTTTTTCTGTAGAAGCCTAGTATAAAAGTGTGGGTTCTGTGGCATTTTGAGATGTGCTGTCCTAACCCCAGAGGCTCTTCAGTATGATTTCTTCCTCTACAAGCAGTCCTGCAGGGAGAGAACATTTTTGGCCTTCCACTTGTCCTTCAGGAATAGCTAGAGGACAATCTAGGTTATAGTATTGGATATCTTGCTTGACTAGAAGTAAAGGTCCACAAATTCCATTCTTGCTTTAACATAAATCAGAGTATGTCATTAACACTTCCAGGAGCAAAATTACTGTGCTGTGGCTGACTTTACACTTCAACAGGTCTCACCAGCCAAGCCGTCATTCTGTGGAACTCATCCAGGGTAGAGGTCAAGGGCTTTTCAGAACTTGGGAAAGAGGATGATGATTTGCAAAGTATTACAGGTAGACCTCGACTTACAGCCACAGTAGGGACCAGAAAATTCACCTTTAGGTGGTGCAGCCATTAAGCAAGGCATCATGTAACCACATCTGATTTTACGACATTTTTTGCACAGGCGTTAAGTGAATCATGTGGTCGTTAAGCAAATCATGCGGTTTCCCATTGATTTTGCTTATTGGGAAGGTCGCAAATTGTAATCATGTGACCCCGGGAGGCTGCAACTGTCATAAATACATGCTGGTTACCAAGCACCCAAATTTTGATCACATAACTGTGGGGACACTGCAACAGTTGTAAGTGCGAGAACTGGTTGTAAGTCACTTTTTTCAGCACCATCATAACATCAAACAGTTGCTAAACGAATGGTCATAAGTCAAGGACTATCTGTTCAAATGCAGAGCATCTGCACATTCTTCTTTTATCAGGTAGCTACATCCCCAGTGGGTGGTTAGTAAGTGATTCAAGAAGGCTCCATAATAAAAATTTAGAGATAAATAGGATGTCAAAGTATTGGGTGTTAAAGTAAAACATATCCAGTTGCCAAGATTTTTGTAAAGAAATGCCTTTCCCCTTTCAATCAATCTGGTTAAAGAAGGCTCTGAGAATCTTGCTTTGGGGTTATATTAGCTGCCAGTAAGGGCTTGACAGCAGGCCATTTTGAGGTGTGCCTGTATTGGTTGTCCTGTGTACATTCACAACTGAGAAGGTGATTGTGTGCAAATATACTTCTAAAAACAGAAATGGAGTCTCAAATGCATTAAGACATCATTAAGGTCTTGTGCTAAACAAAGAAAGAGGAGGGAGAGCTGCCTTCCTGCCTGCGTTTCACATGCCAGGGTCTTCCCTGCCCTCCTCCTCCTCCTCGGGTGAAGCAGTGTTGCGAGGCAGGCAGGCAAGCAGAGCAGAGCCTTAAAGCCACAGGAGAAGAAATGCAGAGGAGAGTCATAATTAACAGAACCCAGATATT